AAAGAAAAGAAAAGAAAAGAAAAGAAAAGAAAAGAAAAAAGAAGTTGCCCTGGCCAGATAAATAAGTAAATATTGTTAACAATTAAAATGACGTTTAAATAAAAAGGTCTTCACAACTTGTGTGGGCAGCTAAAGCTCTAGCAGGGACTGGCACTGGAAGCGCCTGCCAAAGCCAAGGGGAAACCACCAAAAGGCCGTCAGGAGTGTTAGCCCTGCAAGGGCACCATAAGCAAGGCTTCCCCAGTCAATCTGCAGTCTTGGGCTGGCCAGTACTGGAGAAGCTGGTCTACCAGTTTCTGAGTCCTGCACCATTTAGGGTTCCATACATAAGAAATGATGCCTTGAATCAGGCCTGCAGTGGTGACCACACTCATGAAAATCCATCCTTGTCAATATTTACTGACTCCCTCTTTCAATGGATGGTAAAAGATGTTTAAAATTTTAAATCGGCAGCAGAGGCCCTCCTCCGGGAACCCTCCGTGAAAGACATTAGGAGGCAAAGTACCCGGAGAAGGGCCTTCTCTGCGGTGGCACCCCACCCATGGAATGCGCTCCCCAGAACAATTAAAATATTGTTTAAATATTGTTTATTTCAACAACATTTTAACAACTTTTAATATCATCTATAGGTTTTAATTTGCAGCCAGGGTGAATCTGGATTTTATTTGCACTATTTGTATTTTGTTTATTTATTTTATGTAAGCCGTCCCGAGGCTCAGGCGATGAGACGGCATACAAAAATTCTAAATAAATAAAGAAAGAAAGAAAGGTACTTTTAATTACCTTCTGTTTTAATTACATTTTTGCTGTGGCTTTATTAACTCTTTTTGATGTTTTAACTGTTATTGCTTTGTGACTGATCTATTATTTCGTAATTTATTTTACATTCTCCCCCTTTATTGGTGAGCCACTTTGATTACTGTTCTAACATAAGGATGGGCAACTTGTGGTTCTCATTAGGACATTTTTGGAAAGCAAGTCCCATCAGCCCCAGCCAGTGGAGCCAATAGTGAGAGAAGTAGTAGGCCAAATCATGTACAAGGGCCATAAGTTGCCCAGCCTTGCTCTAACAGAAAATAAATATAGATTTAAGTAGATTAATATAGTACAGTCAACTAAATATCCAAGGCTAGAACTGAGTAAACTGAAGTGTCGAGTCAACAGGGACACACACACACACATATACCCTGCAACATAAAATACCCAGCTTATTACTGGATACCAAACGTGAGGCAAAGATAAACTGAATGGCAGTAAACCAACTGATAAAGAGTACTCCTGACCTCAAATTACCCTACTGCACTTCTTTTGATGGTTCTTCTTCTACAGGTAATTGCCGTCTCCTTGCTTGGGGGTCTTCGTCTGAAAAACAGAAGCAGACATGAGATTGTTGAAGCCCGCAGACCCACGACAGCCCCCTCTGCAACTGCACAGAGATCCACTGAATGAAGAAGAGCAGAGTAAAGGTGGCGGGGAAGAATCTTTCTTGTGCTAGACCAGCTGAAAGATGCATAGCAAGCTTCCTAGTTACACAGAGCCCTACACGGAATGTCCCTCCTCCATCCCCAGTAAAGGCCCTTAATAGCAGCTTGCCTCTCTGCGGTCTGCTCCCCTTCCCTCCCTTCTGGTATTCCCCATGGATCCATTTCTGGACCGGAAGCTCCAAGGAACTCTGTAGCACCCTATGCAGAAGACATAACGGGAGCTGTGAGGATCCAAGATCCAACCCATGGAGCCACCTCAGGCTGGAGGTAACCACAGGTGTGCAGACAGGTGGGCAGATGTCACTGCTGGAGGAGAGCCACACTTTCCCCATCCCTGAATTCAAGGCTGCAGCCCAAACAAGAACTTGGGGACAGTCCAAAGGCAGCTGCAGTGTTAGCAAGAGGAGCATCATCTTACCGCAGGAATGTCCTTCAACATCATCCAGAAGATTAGCTGTTGAGGCTGCAGTCCCCATCCTGGGCATGCAATTAAGGAGGAAAGCTGAACGGATGGTGTGGCCAAGGCATAATTCAAGGTGCTCTTCAGTCAAGTTTTAGAATGTTTTCAGGGGCCATGGAATGAAGGACATGGAAACAAAGGCTCCGCCGTGCTTCAGACCAGGTGAATGAAAGAACCTCCATGAGCAAGTAAACCAGCAGATCCCATAAGGAGCATCCCAAATCTGTGTCTATTAAATGTTCAGATCTGCTGCGTAGGCACATCTGCTGAGCTGCAGAAATGCAATCCAGCGCATGTTGGAGGAGGACACAGGAACCCTGAATTAAAATCCCTGCTCAAGCACTCAAATGCAAAACTGGTCAGCTGCCCTTAAGCTTGTCATGAAAAGTGGAGAAGTGCCACAGAAAGCAGGGCCCCTTTCTCTCCAGGGAACACCATGCTGAGCACAGAACGCCCTCGCTGGGTTTCACACTTGAATCAAGTCCCCCCTGCTCTTGGAATTATGGGGACTGGGAATCATGGAAGAGCCTTCTCATCCCTGCAAAGAAACCCGTATGGGTGACACTCACGGTCTCCAGTTTGGGACACCAACAGCACCACTGGGAAATATTTATCAAGTGGAAGGATACATTTGATGCTTCAACAGCTGTTTTCTTTTTGACTTCCTCATTTTGGTCTTCTCTGAAAAAGCCCTGGCGAGTTCAAAAAGCTTCTTGCGTGTAGCTAAAAGACAAAAGGAAAGAAAAATGAGTGAAGGAATTTTTAAGGCAAAAGAGGGCAAAGCTGGAGGATTATTCTATCGCTTGGTGGCTTTTGGAATTTTACCAGGCATAGGAATCACATGCTGCCAAGTCTAACTACAAAGCTTTAAGAGTTAGGAATTTGTTTACAACAAAAGTTGCAAGATATCAAAATCCTCACTTGAACAATGCATGCATTTCTAAGTGCAGAAGAAGAAACATCTCTGAAGCACATATACGTATTCCAGGACCAAAGGTGGAAAGTCAGCCCTACAGATTCAAGGCGGTCATGCAATTATCCAAAACAGAATGAGATGTACCGTGTGTTTCCAAACAAGCATAAGTTCTCACCATATGATACCCCACAGTCTAGGGTTCAGTATGGGTTGAGTGTAGGTTATTGTTCAACCATGGGTTGTGGTTGAGATGTTGATTATCGTACTGTCTGATTGCAGCTGTATGTGAATCCACCGTTGCTTGTTCACCATGAGGAACCCATGAGAGAACCCGTGGTTTGTGATTGGGTTGCGAACTGTGGACCATTCACCACGGCTGGACTCAAGCAACATGATAACCCTAATTTTAACACCTGTGACAACCCACACTCAACCCATATGAGTTACAGTGTTGTGTGAACTCAGTCATAGTAATATAAAGACAGGCAGATATCCGCACTGTGAACTCTTGATGCCAGTGTGATTATAGGGGTTAGTGTAGCCCCTACATGCTCACAGAGAGACCCCATCAGATTTGGTAGGGAAAAGCATAGCAGAACCCCCGAGTCAAGACTCTTGTTCAGAGTGATGCAACTCACATTTTCCCATGTGTTTCAGTTTGTCCCTGAATAAGGCATCTTCGGAGACAGCACCACTGGACATGCCGGTTAAGGAGCGAGTGACATCATCTGAAAGAGCAAACACCCATGAGATCAACAACATGCAGAAAAAAATAAAGATGAATCTTCCACACAGCCCCGGAGTACGGATGTGTTCTAAGAATCGGGCTCCCACACCTTGCCTCTGATGGTGATTGATTGATTGATTGATTTAGAATTTTTGTATGCCATCCCATCGCATAGCCTCGGGACGGCTTACATAAAGTAAACACAATACAAATAATACAAATAAAATCCAGATTCACCCTGGCTGCAAATTAAAACCTATAGATGATATTAAAAGTTATTAAAATATTGTTTAAATAAAAAGGTCTTAGCCTGGCACCGAAAAACAAATAATGACGGCGCCAGGCGGACCTCTCTGGGGAGCGCATTCCATAGTCGGGGTGCCACCGCAGAGAAGGCCCTCCTCCGGGTACTTTGCCTCCTAACGTCTTTCACGGAGGGTTCCCGGAGGAGGGCCTCTGCTGCCGATCTCAGGGGGAGGGAGGGAAATATGGAAGAAGGCGTTCCTTTAGGTATCCAGGTCCCAAGCTGTTAAGGGCTTTATAGGTAAATATAAATATACAATATTTATTGTATTCATTTAAAGTATCTTTCATACAAATACCCCAGTAACCCATTTCAGCAACAGCCCATGATTCTGTGATTGATAAAATTAGGTGGGTGAGTCTAAGAGACAGGGCTTTCTTGGGAGTGAAGCCGTGACTGCTAAACCTTCCCTGCCTGCTTCCCCTTTGCCTTTGACTTGGGGGAAGTAATCAAAACATTTTATTTTATTCCAGCAAGTTTTTTCTTCATGCTTCAGTTGTGATTTTAAATTGAAATTACATATGTGGATCAGTGTAAAGGTCTTATTTCTCATCGGTCTGTTATTTCATTGTTCTCACGGAGCTACTGTTATGACTTCATTTTGTCCAGATTGGACATTTTATGCATTTGATTTAGATTGTCCGATAAAAGAATGGGCAGTAAATATGAAATGTAGAGCCAAATTACGCATGGGTTAAATATGTATTTGTGTCTAATATTTGGGTTTTATCGATGCAAATTGCTTTTTTTTTTGTGGCGGGAGCTACTTGAAAATCACTGAGATTACAAAATGCGAGAAGGGAGAGAATGCAATGCTCCCCCCCTGCAATTCTGAGCCTTGCATTCGCCATTTGTTTCTGGCTTTGCGCCCTGCAATTCTTGCTTCTGGCCACAAGGTTAAAATGTTGGCTTAGGTGTCCTATGTACTGGCAAGGGAGGCTTAGGACAAGTGTCAGGAACAAATAGGATGGGGGAATCCTCTATACAATTGGACAGCAGAGGTAAGCAAACTGGCTCATTGTACCTGGTAATACAGAGGAGAAACCAGCATCACTGCTGACAGCCGCACTGCTCATCTTGGATTTCTTGGACTCATACCTTAGCCGATCTAGACGGGGGGTTCCAAAAAAAACCAGGACACTTCTAAGCTGTCTTTCACTATAGGCTATCAAGAACTAGTACATAGTTATAGAGATGACAGTAATGGACGGCCTACAATTTTTTTTAAATAAATACATATTTAAGAATAAGGCTATGTAATAAATGTTACAATAATAAAATGGCATAAAGCAGAGAACAGCAGTGTTCATTTAAAGAAACACGCAGTTCTAGACCCTTTTACTATCAGGGATTAGCTAGAAATCAGCCCCCAGGAAAAAATGGGGGCTCCTTGCATCTGCATCTGGGCTCTTTGCATCATAACATAGAAACAGAGTGAATCCAAAGGGGTCTCCCAGGCCATCTAGTCTGACCCCCAGCTCCAGCTGGCTCTGCTCACGACATAACCTCAACCCAAGCCCAAACAGGGAGCGGCAACAGTCATTCACAGTGCCCCAGTTCTCTCGGTTTGTGCCCCACCTGTCTCCTGGGTTGCCCACAGCTGTTGGAAGCTGCCTGGAACAGCCACCTGGCCGGTTTTCCCTGCAGGGAAAGCTTTGGGCAGCCTTTCCCTTGAGGAGAGCGCTGGAGGCCGACGGCAGCCCCCCCCCCCCCCCCCCCCCCCCCCGCGTGCTTCCACAGGCATCCTTTCTGAAAGAGCTGCCACCATTTTTCCAGACTACCCAAAGAACTGAAGCTGTTGAGCAGGATGGAAATCTATGGAGCAGGAAACCAATTTGGCTGGTGGGCCACAAGTTCCCTGAAACTGCATTAAGCAGCCACAAGACCGTAAAAGAGCTAATAAAACCAACAATTCAGCACACAGAAATTGGCCTATCAAACATGCCAGAAAATCATCCAAAGTGGGTGGCTGGAAGATGCTCCAGCGGGGGCTTTCAAAACATGAGGGGCCTTCACGGAGAAGGCCTTCTCTCCAGTGACCATGTGCCTCGGCTCAGGGGGCAGCAGGTCTTAGACAAAGGCTTCTGGTAACCAGAAGGTATGTGCAGGCTGTTGTGGTTCAGCACAGCACTGGAACCCTCTCTTTCTTTTTAGTATTATTTTTATTATTTTCTTGACATGAATAGAATACAGGGAGAAGAAAGGGGGATGTATGTGTGTGTAGTAACATAAAGTTGCCAAGGGATTTTTGTACAAGTATAACTAATACATTCAAGCCCACAAATTTCAAAGAGACTGAAATTATCTATCTTTCTATCATTCAATACGCTATGGAAGTTCAGAAACCACTGAAACACTCTCAAAGGATCCATTACCTCTCTCGAGGGCCAGGAGGAAGTCCCGGTTCCTCTGCAGCTCCTTCATGAACTCTTCATTCTGCAGGAAGAGCGCGATCCGCTCGTCTTCCAGGTACTGCTTCCACTTTCTCTCCTGGTCTGTGGAGCCCTGGGCTCTCTGGGTTCCTGGGCTTGGTATGCTCTGAGGGCAGCTCTGTGAACTCTGGACAAGGGTATTTGTGCGTAAAGGAAGAGAAAACTGAGGTGGGTGGCAACAGGAAGGGCAACATCACTGCAGGTTCCTTCAAGGCAGAGCCATGGACAACCAGAGGCCCCTGAAGAACCCACCTGATCTATCCATGAATTATATATATTAAGCAGTTCATAGAATAAATTTCTCTGGGCTCTCACTAATTTAAAACTTAATAATGAGATTACAGAGACAAATCACAATACAGTATAAGTCTAATACATGTACAGAGACAGCATAAGATGCCGCATGAGGCATAAGAGGTAAAACTACATCGCAGGGGCTAAAGAAACAGAACACAAAAATACTGCAAGATTCCAACAGTCTTTAAGGATGTGAGACTATGCACAGCTGGAAGTGGCGGGACTTTTGCTGCACGAACATGCATAGGATGCCCTGAAAGTCAGGAAGGTCCTGGCCTGCCTGGGGCCAAAAAAATACCAGCATAGGCACTGGACCAGCTTCCCTTGGGAGAGCATGCCAAAGCTGGGGGGCCGCCACTGAAAATGTGGTCAGAATGGCACTGGTTGAGTCATGCCGTTTGCAAATATGTGGCAGCAGCTTTCACCGTTTTTAAAACAGAAAAAAATAGAATGGACAAAGCTGCCTCTTTATGAATTAAAGCCTGCAAGACTTCAGGGCTGTGTCCAACATTCCCAGTCAGGCCTCCACCAGCATCTAACTAGCAAGCCAGAGTGTGATTTGCAGGGAAGAGGCCAGAGGCCCGGAAAGGGTATTTAATCTTCTGCCCTGTCCATGATTTCTCCTCCTAGGAGCTCTGCTCCCAGACAGAGAAAATATGCTGGGCACAAAAATGCTAGGAAACATTGTGGTGCATCCACTTCTTTGTCCGTGGTATCTTTTCTCCAAATCGTAGAATACTAAAGTTGGAAGGGGCCAGAGGACCATCAAGTCCAACCCCCACCTGGTTTGGATGACACGACAAGTTGTTGTTGTTGTTGATGTTGTTGTTATTATTATAATTATTAGAACATTTCTATGCCGCCCCTTGCCGAAGCCTCGGGGCGGCTTACAACACAATAAAATACAATACAAAAATAACAATATAAAATTAAAATTAATAATATAAAATAAATAAAAAATATAAAAGATATAAAAGAAGTTATAAAAGAAACGTTATAAAAGAAAAGAAGTAAAGAAAAGAAGTCGCCCTGGCCAGATAAATAAGTAAATATTGTTAACAATTAAAATGACATTTAAATAAAAAGGTTGCCGTGAAGAAAAGAAAAAATAAGAGAAAGTTTCCAAACACCTCCTTTAGGTCATGTTAGAACAGCCTAGGCATGGTTTACATTTATTTATTATATATTTGATTTATACCCTGCCTCTTTCTTTTTCAAAGAACTCAAAGTGGCTTATATCACTCTCCTCCTCCTGCTCTCAATCTTATCCCCACAACAAGAACCCTGTGAGGTAGGCTGGGCTGAGAGTCTGTGACTGCCCAAAGCCACCCAGTTGGTTCCGTGGCTGAGCAGGGACTCAACCCAGAGCATCCGAGTCTCAGCTCCACGCTCTTAACCCCTGCGCCACACCAGCTCTCCGCAAATACAAAATCTATCTGCTTCTCACCTGTATCCTGTCCATTTGCTGGGGCAAGATGCGGAGGAAGTCGTCGGGCAGGTTGCCTAGTAATGGTGGATTCCAATTCCTGTACCGCCGCAGTGCCTGGGGGCCGCTGGGATTTTGGATATCAATCCTGCATGGATAAGAAAAAAAACAGCAAATTCAACTGAAGCTTGAAATTCTAGTATTCTTAAAAGATTGGTTCCCTTTCCTGGCACGGAACTCTCCATTCTTCTCATTTTACTCTCGAATATATACGATTTCCAAGTCATTCTTAGTGCCTGAAAAATATGGGAGTTTTTTTTGCCAAAGCATTTCCTGTAATAAGATGGCAGCCCTCTTGTTGTCACAGGGTGCAGGTCATAGAGAAGGGGATGTTGTGGCGGATGAGGCTTCATGTACTTTCCCTGGGTGTAGGACCGTCTGTTCCTTCATCAGGGACCTCCAGGCAAGAAGCCCCGGCCCAGTCATTAGCTCAGAGAATGTCCCCCCATCTCCCCAATCTCAGGCAAGAGTGCTTTAACAAGTGGGGTGCTTCAAGAGGGGTGGGTTCTGAACTACAGTCCTTCTCTTCAGCTTCATCAGCTTTCCCCAAATGTGCTTTCTCTCCAGATGTGCTTAACAGCAGCACCAATAATTCTCAGCCAGCATGGCTATTTTTCTGGTAGGAGAGTGCTGCAGCCATGGGATCCATGTGGAACTATCCAAGGTCCTATTTTCTTCCTGCCTTGATAGGGCTGCCCTCAGAAGCTGCCAGCTCCCTTTGCTAGCCTCAAGGAACCAAAGAATGTGATACCTGTGCCTGTGCATTTCTACACATTTACTTAAATCACGCAACTCAGCTAACTATGTGTGACGCCTCGGAGTGCAAGGGATGGAAGCTGAGGCAGTTCCAGGAGACCTCGTATCTTGGCAGTGGTGGTCTCCTCCTCTCCCCACCCCCTGCACAGTCCCAGAAACCCTTTTCTCAACTCACTCGTAAAACCTCAAGGAAGCAGCTAGCACTTTTTTTTCCTTGCTACCTATGACAAGGAAGGAGAACGGAGCTCAGATGCCCAGCTGCAAGGCTGAAGTATTTTTCTGATCTTGGAGTTGGGATCCAAGCTGTACCACGGCCATCAAGGCCCTGAAGGTCCCATGCTTCTAGCACTTTGACAGATTTTCCCAGTTCGCCATGGAGTTCACTCTCCATGCGTGACTTTGGGCCAAACTCTCACTCTCATTTTAACCTACCTCAGGTCGTTTTTGCTGTGAAGATAAAATGGAGCTATGACCACTTTGGGATCTTCACAAGAGGACAAATGCAGGGCGTACATTCAATGCAATGAGCAACAACATTGGGTTCGTTCTCTGAGCAGGGGGTTGAACTGACAGCCACAATTGCTCCTTCCCGCTCTGTGATTCTTTCATTTGATGTTCAACCAAATACTCTCCTAATACTTTTGTATATTCCCTTGCTGGCTGAACAGGGAGATAGACACAATCTCAGATAAATAACTCTGCAATTATGCCAACAAATCCCTTGAGCTGCTCAAGCGTGCAGCCGAACAGCCTTTACTGATTATGGTTCCTGATTTGCATGGGAAAAGTCATCCCATGAAGCTGAATGGTGGAGAAATCGGGACAGATCTTTGTCCCTACGTGCTCCAGAATCCTAAAAACTTCCCCCTCCTGCCAATGTTCAACCAATACCTGCCTTCCTGTAACTTCAGCCCATTATTTTGACAACAGGCTGTGGGCACCCTTTGCGTGACCAACCCTTTAGGTACCCGAAGAAGTGTCATTCAATCTTTCCTTGTGGGGCTCACCTTCTATTCCTGTGATCATTTTTGCTGCCCTGCTCTGAACTCATTCCAAATTTTCTGACCCATGCTGAAAGGGTGATGCCCAGAACCAGACACAGAATTCATGGTGAAGACGAATCAGTGCAGAGCAGAGTGGAACTACAGTCCCCATGATTCTGAAATTACACTTCCAGTGATGCAGCCTAAAATTGCCTTTGCCTTTTTTGCAGCCACATCATGCTGCGGACTCAGCTTGTGATCCATTACAATTCCAAACTACTTTGCCAAGTGATTCAACCAGAGAACCTCTGGCCTTGAGGGATGGAAGGTCCTCCCTCCCTTGGTGGAAGCCTGAAAGCACTGGGAGGGCACAGGGGTGTTGGAGAAATCTACAGCAGACTCAAATATGTTCGAATTTCTATGAATATTAACTACAGATTTTGCAGTGGTCCAGTTTTTCCTGGGCCATGAAGATTCCACAAACTTGTGGAGCAGGTTGTGTTTTTTTTAAAATACACAATTTAGTTGTAGGAAACTGTAATTTAAAACACACTCACAAAAATGCACATTTGCCCATAGATTAAAGCACGAAAATATACATTTCCAGGGACTTACGTATTTTGAAGGGGGCATTTGCATTTTCAGGAGTGCAAATTTGCACAATTGTATACAAATGCTTTTAGGTGAAATCTGATTTCATCAGTAAGTTTACAACATCTGTAGGTCCCTAACTGGAAGTGGCGTAGCTCTGAGTTTCCTGTGTTGAGCAGGAAGTTGGACTAAACAGCCCAGGATCGGAATCCAGGGTGCTGCCATATACCAAGTCAGACCTTTGGTCTATCCAGGCCCTGGATTATTGACATGGATGGGCAGAAGATCCTCAGGACCACAGCCAGAAGTTTCTCCAGCACTTCCTGGAAAAGCTGGGGAGTGAAGCTACGGCTCCCTTCCAGCGTGGGGCTGCTTTGGGTTCCCTGCATCGTGCAGCAGGCTGGGCTAAGTGGCTTAACAGGGTCCCTCTCCAGCTCCGTGATTCTGCAGATGTCACCACAGGCTTGCTGCTTACCTGGGCGGCAGTGTTGGAGGCGCCTGCAGATACTGTCTGTCAAACACATGCATGTCATAGGAGGGAGGAGAATAAATGGGCTGCTTTGGGTTTCCTGCATCGTGCAGCAGGCTGGGCTAAGTGGCTTAACAGGGTCCCTCTCCAGCTCCGTGATTCTGCAAATGTCACCACAGGCTTGCTGCTTACCTGGGCGGCGGTGTTGGAGGCGCCTGCAGATACTGTCTGTCAAACACATGCATGTCATAGGAGGGAGGAGAATAAACGGGAGGGGGCTCTTCATCTGAACTGTCTGGTTCCAGAGTCCGTTCCAAGATCTGAATCAATCGAGACAGAAAGAGAGGAGAAGTCGGCAAAGGAATTAGAATGGCTCCACATACTGTGGAGATCCAACCAGTGTAAGAGCACCAGAGAACTGTGCTCACAGCTTCCCTGATTTGCTAAAACAAACTGGCTCTTAAGATTTATTTATTTATGTGGGGTGTGGAAGATGGCACTGGAGATTCTACAAGTTGAATTAGAAGGGAAGAGGTAAAATGAGGATCAAGTGGAGCATAGAAAAGGAAAGAGACTAAGCAGGCCGGAGGTCAAGGGAAGCAAGAACTCAAATAAAAGGTCTACAGAGGCAGACAGTCAAAAGGAGCAAATGGAGTATTGAGTTGAACAGGTAGCGGAGGGAGAGAGAGGGGGCAGGGGGAGAAAGCACAGAGGAAAGATTATGGCCCTTGTACAAATGTTCCTGCAATTACACAGTTGCTACAGGACATTGTGTTGCATTTCTCGGGCTCCAGGAAGCTGTGCAAACATTTGAACCTACTTCTGACATAGGCTGACGGGGCTTATTCTTCCGACGCAAGTGATCCAGCCAAGCCACATGGACAACAAGTGCAGATGCTTTTACAACGCTCTGAGCTTCATGAAAACAATTCGACACAGCATTTGAGATGCTCTGATGGGAAACGTTGAAATGGCTCAGAGAAATAGGAGTGTCTGGAGGAACAGCTGATTGGAAAAGAGAGAAAGAACCCAAAGGCTGAGGGACCAAGGCACAATCCCCCATATCTCCAGCCCCCAGCGCATCACAGCCCTTTCCTGTCCCAAAAAGGGATGTACAGATCCACTGTACAATCCGTTCTCTCTCTATTCTGTAGACTGCCTGGTTCCTCCTGTTCCATCGTCCACTCACACAATGCAAAATGCGTTGGTAACCATTTGCACAAATCTGCACTCTCCAAAACGTGAACATTCTCCCCCAGAATTTTAGGCATTTCCCCAAAATATGGAAATCCATTAAAAATTGCACACTTTGGCCCATGAGGGAAATGCACATCTTTGGTAAGTGCTTTTTATTTTTAGATATATTTTTGATGACTAAATTTGTGTCAAATTATGGAGGAAAAAAAAGGAGAAGGCTGAACAACTGTGGGATGCACCTGCAACGCGGTCAGCTGTGAATCCTGACACATTCCAACTCGCTTGCCCTCACTGCAGATTTCTCGCCGGGTCCTATGGCCTCTGTGATCGTCCCCCTAAACATTCTCCAAAATTACAAATGGGTGGGGAAGTTGGTTGTGACCCTTGCAAGCAACAGCCGCTTAGCCTGGGGAGAAAGGGAGACTGGAATGCACGAACAGGGGAGCAGAGATGGCACAGAGAGATGATCCTGCCCCAGGGAAACGGATGAAGCTTGTATAGGGTAGGAAGTTAAGTGTGTTTCGATCTTGGAAACCACGGATGAAGGTGCCGTTCCTCAAGTGGGTCCACGTGCACTAGGAGCTGCACTGAATGCAACCCACTGGCCACGTAACGTCCGCCAGTCCCATTTCAGAAGCCCCCAAGCAGAGCATCAAAACCAAGAGGCTTATGAAGTCCCTGGTGGGCCCCACCCCACCCCGGAGGAAGCTGTATTCAGCCTGGAGAGTCCCAAGGTGGACAGGAAGCTGGTACTCGTAGCTGGCCGACTGGGCTGGTGACCGACAATGTGCCCTTGAGGCACCGAGGACAGGAAGCTGCTGGCAGCTCCCACGCGAACGAAAGGTAAGGGCTTCAAACTCACTAAGACTGCAGCCTTCTTGCAGTGTGGGATCCCTGCTATCCATTTGCCAGGAAGTTTTCAAATCCGCAAACAGAGCACCACACTGCGCAAAAATTGCTTGTTGGTGTCCCTTTCCCTGGCCTGGTTCCTTCTCTCACCAAAGCCTTTTCTGTGCCTCAGATCTCTTGCCTCTGGGTTTTGCCTTCACGATCTTTGAAGTCAACAAGGGTTCAAGGTGGGGAAGCCAACCTTATATGCCCCCTGGTTTGTCAGCCCAGAATGCCTTAAAATGCAGTTCCATAAGCACTTTTTCCTTCTTTTTCTAAACCTGCTTTTCATGCCCATTCCTACTGAGGCTACAAAGGGGTGATTTAAAAAGTATTGAGTAACACTAAAGAAATTTTAGGGCAAAAAAGGGGGAAAGAAATCTTAGGGCAAAGACTTGCAACTCCCAGCATCCCCCAGCCAGCTGTGCTAACTGGGGAATTCTGGGAGTTGCAGGCCTTTTATCAGTCTCAACATACATAGGAAGGTGCCTTTAGTCATTGAATCCTGACAGCCATATACTGCAATCCTATACCCACTCACCTGGGTATTAATTATGCGGATTTCTTGCTAAAATGTGAGTTATGTTGTGTGAACCCAGCAATGCTAACAAACCATAGTTTATTAATCACGAACAGCCTATGTTTTACAACTCAACAGCAAACCATGGAATTTCTAATAGGTTGTTCACGGTTAACAACCCACAAATATGAGATAACATGTTCAGACAACACAATAACCCATGGTTCAACAACAACAACAATCCACAGTTCAATGACAACCCACGCTCAGCCCATACTCAACCTCTGAGTGCAGGTTAGTGTGTTGTCCAAATGAGCTAAGTTTTACCCCAATCACAATCAGTCTCTTTCCGAAGTCAGCAAGGAAATTCAATTGGTTAGAATCCTTCTTTAGCCATTCAGGCCTTGAGCACACTCTTTGAAGTATATGCACACATTTCTCAGTGGCGGGTACACTCACTTTCAAAAAAAAAAAAAACGAAACCGAGAAAGCATAACCCAAGAAGAATGCCTTATTCCAGCAAAATAGGAGAAAGCCTCACTGCAGAGCTAGAACTAACATCCAAGTCTTGGAGCCCAGTGAATACTTCACACTTTATCATGTGCCCGAGTGTTTAAAACCAGTTCAGAACCTTAAAAAATAAATAAATAAATAAATAATGCACTTAACAAAAAAAAAAAAAGGATCCTAACCAAGTTACAGAAAAGAAAACTGGCGATGTGTGCAATTTGTAAATGTTATTGAAGAAACCATCTCATAAAGATGAGCAATTATGTTTCAGGTAAAATCAACCAATATTTGTATAGTCTAAAATCATATCAGCAAAATGCAGAGTGATTTGAACCATGTCTCCTGAGAAACAAGTTTATCTGAGTTCAGTGGGCCCTTACTCCTTAAGAGAGTATGTGAGCCAAGAAGTGATGACTTAGTGTGTACATAGTTAGTTTGGGATGTTTCCAGACCAAGGGCTCTTAGCATATCAGTCAAAAGGTGCTGTGCAGCTATTCAGTCTTTCCTTGCTTGACAGCTCTTTTGTAGTAAGGAAAAAAGTATAAAAAGTAGGGGGAAAATATGGGAGGGTTATAAGATGTGATGTTGACACTTTTCCAGATGAGGCTTCAAAGCAATAAATGAACTGTCAACAGCATCCTCAGGTCAGCAGAAACATCCTTTTGGAAAGCCCAAAGGGAGAATTTTAATGCCAATTATTTAAATTATTACTATTAAAATGATTGTAGCCTTCTCCTCCCCTGTACCAACCAGATGGATTGGACTAGAACTCCAGAAGATTCCCAGCAGTCAGGAAAAAACTTGATCAACAAACCAGTCCTAGCAAATTCATCTCTACCAGGAGTAGCTATTTAATCATAATTAGGTTTTAGTTGCCCATTCAAGACTAAGCTATACCCAATTACTTTTCATTACAACAAGGACAGCTTGGGGTTCAAGCAACACAATAGTTGTGGGTTGCTGTGGGTTGTCATAGAACTGTGGGTTGTTGCTGAAACATGGGTTATTGTGTTGTTTGAACTCTTCTGCACCAACAAGCCATGGCTTGTTAATCCATGAAGAGAATCCATGGAATGTCATTGGACTTGAACTAGGGATTGTTCACCCCATGGTTTGATAGCATTGCTGGGTTCAAACAATGCAACCCATATTTTAACAGCAACCCACTCTGAGTGCTAGTTATTGCGCTGAGTGAACCAAGTCAAGATATATCTCTCAGAGAGAGCAAGGTCATCTGAGCTGGATGGCCAATGACGTCAGTGCCTTTGCGAATCAGAAATTCCCACAACCTTGACTCTGATGGCACTGCTTCCACAATACCACTGTGCGCAAGCATGTACGCACATATTATAGCGCACATCCATCAAGGCTGGTGCCTGAACATTATGATTCTGGCTTCTACGAATCTGACTCCTTTTCTATCCATGTCAATAAGCAGAATTTAGGGGGTTCAGCTTGCCCTGGCCCTGAACTAGGAGTTTCACACACACAGCCACCAACACTACCATTATGAAGAGAAAAGTTACTAGTATCCCATGTCTGATTTTAACCCTAATGTAAGGAATGGAGAATCGGTAGTCTTTCAGATGTGATTAAACTACAACTCTCAGGTCACATGAAGCTAAGCAAGTCTGGGTCCACCTTGGAACTAACTGCATGCAGCCACCCTGACTTCCATGAAGGGCGATAGCAAAGAAAGAGAGAAAGAAATCCCTAACCTACCACCCAGGCTAGCTTGGGCTGCTTGGAGTTGGAGTACAACAGCATCCAGCGGGTAAGGGACAGACATGGGTTCTGGGCCAAAAGAAAACAGAGACCCCCTCGAATTTTGTTTTTCTGCTCAAGAAAGCACCCATCTTCTACTGGAATAGCAGCTAACACTAGCGCAGCTCTTGGGACCCTGCCAACGTGAGCCCTGAACTCTTCTTTACACTTTGTTTGCCCAGCATTTCCATGGGTGGCCACCATTTGAATCTTCCACAATGCCCCGAAGGTTGCGAACATAGGTGTAGGGTGGCGATTCAGATAGTGGACGCTCAGTATTGCATGGAAGCACGCCACTGCTGGTTCGGGCTGCCAGAACACGGTCTACTCGCATGAAAGGGGTCCCTCCACAGACTACCAAGATGTGGCCCTCCTTAGAGCTGCAGCTGGCCCAGGAACAACCTCACGACGCAGCAAAGTGTGTCTCAGAATAAGCCAAAGTTTACCTCCGGTGGAATGCTATCCTCTGAATCTGTGCTGTCCTCACATCCACTGCCATCCAGGTTCATCTGTAACAGCTGGTCGATGGTGGAATCCACGGCACCATTGTTGGCTCTCAAGACACATTCAATGATGTCATAATCCATGTTGGGAAACATAGTCTTGAAATCCTCCATGGCCTGGTTAAACTCCAGCCGCCGGACTTGCCTTGCAGGACGGTTGTTGTTAAGTTCCTGGGCAGAGGAGTTGTTCCTTGAGCTGCCATTGCTGCTGCTCCTTCGGAACAGACTTGTCATTTTGGATAACTGTTTCTGGAAAATGTTTACACTTTTTCAAAGCAGGTTTTTGAGGTAGAAGGGCAGGAAAGGGGAAAATAGAAGAAATGTGTAAATTCCACACCAGGAGAAAGAAGGGATGAGGCACAATCCACCTTCCAGGATTGCTATCAAGAAGCTATAGCCCCATCTTCCAGCACCATTGACTGATAATCCACAATGAAAGTGCAGAGCATCAGAGACACTATCAGGAGTTGAACAAGCCTGAGGAATTTTGGCCCAGGGTGAATCCACTACAGGAAGCTCTCTAGGAGAAAGGTCCTTGGCAATACGAGCATTTCAGAAGCCTCCAAAGCATGTTTGCCTGAAAACAAACATTTAAAAAATTAAAAGCCATTTTTAAATAACTTTAACATATATTTCACCTCTTTCCACAAAGCATTATGAAGCCCAGCAGAATTTGAGTTCAGCTTGGAGGTAGAAATTCTCAAAACCAATTTTTCTGATTTGGCTGGTGCTCCAAGACTCGGTATCTAGCCAGATTTTAAAGAAATGCTGGGTAATAGTAGAATAACTGTCCATTTTGAAAAGTGAATCTAGCCAAGCACAAGGGTAAGGCTCTTTTCCTGTCAAAAGCCCAAGACATGTTGCTACCTTAGACCAGAAGGTATAGTAATTCTTTCAGTTGGGAGGATAAATTCCCTTTTAGAGACTCTCTTGGGGCCTCATTCTTCTGGCTGGAGGGGCCAAAGCCAAAAGGGACAGAACCAACATACAAAAATAATCCACATATTTGTGTTTAAAATTCATACTGCTTTTCAGAGATCCTACAGGCTATCAATAGCTACCAATCCCGATGGTATATGCACAGTATGTTTAAGCACCCCAGCGGCAGGAGAACATGGGTATGCTGTTGTACTCATGCCCTCCTTGTGGGTTTCTTGTGGTTTCCTGCTTACTATTGTGTACAAACCAGAGTGCAAGCACATGCTGTCTCATTGCTAACTGTGGATCTTCGGACCATGGTTTATTTATCATGACATGTGATCCAGGAACTTGGGACTCTGGCTTGTCTTTTCCCAGCCAAGCTAGAGTCATGTGCAAAGAATAAAGCCGCCCCGTTGTAAGCCGCCCCGAGGCTTCGGCGAATGGGGCGGCATAAAAATGTTTTAATAAATAAATAAATAAATAAAATCCTGGTTAGTGACTTTGGCTTGTCTGAGGAAGAACAGAGTTCCTGATTCATATGTCCTAACACACAAATTATTTACCTAATCCCATTTGCCAGACAAGCCAAATGGGAGCAACTGAGCAGCGAGCGCCTGTGCACCAGAAGCCAGAATTCTTCCATATTGTGACATGTGAATGTAGCCAATGAATGAGTCTCTTTGTCCCCACCATCCTACAAACTCTCACAAGCCATTGATCAGGAGAAAGAAGAGTGATCTTTTTTCCATCTCAAACTTATATACTCACAGGGGCCGGAGTCATTAAGTGGACGATAACAGGACTGGATGGAGATGGAGGCCCACCAGAGACACCCTACTAACACACACAGAAAGCTCTGTGGGGAAGAATTTACCACCAATGGTATCTGCCCAAGCAGGGAGCACTGGGGTCAGGCCAGGTTGGAGGCAAACTGTAACCTGCTGGATCCAACACTCCCTTAGTTCCACTAAGAGAACTGAGCTCTTCAACTACTAATTAATCACACACAAACTGGAATGGGGATTTTCAAACCAATTCCAGAACAAACGAAGAAACATACTCATCCTACTTCCTGTCCTGGCTGGAACAAGCCAGCATGCAGAGTGTCGGAACTGGTGAATCATCCACCATTTCACTCCCCAACCCAAGAGTCAGGATTGCTTCCTACGTCTTCATGTAAAATGAAAGGTTTGATATAAGAAGATACAGTACCTATCAGACCCAGAGGCAAATCATACCCAGTAATGATTTTGATTTTGTTTACAAAGCCAGCAGCTTTGTTGTTTTTCAGACATGACCCCAAGATGGCTTCTTTTGCTTTGCATGTTTGCTTTGTAAAATTTATCTGTTCAGGAGCTGGATCTTAGAATTAGAGGAAGGTGGAAATTCTGCCAGCTGAAGATGGGTGCCTCCTCGGATTACCTCAGTGACCAGGCATGCTGGTAAAGGAGAAAGCATTCCCCTAAATGACACGTTTTGCATTGACTCTGCCTCCTGGCTCCTTCAAGGAAGGCATGAGTTTTGAAATGGAAAGTTGGCAAACCTGGATGCAAATGTGACAGAATTCATATAAGAACATGGTGAGAAATACTTCAGACATTTGGAAAAGGATGACTCATGTGGGTTTTGTTGTTTTTTTTAATTACAACCTCAATCCCCATTGGTGAGGCAAGAGCCACAAATGCTAAGATTAACATTGCCTTTGAAGGCAGAGAATTTTCCTTTTAAACACAGAAGAATACAATTTATTTTTGGTACAGACTCCACTGATGGATGAAATTACACTGGGAAGGAATTCAGGCCCCATCATATTATTCAATTCCATTAAGCAGCTGGTGGGGGGATCTCAACACCCAATGAGATAATAGAACCATGTTTAAACATATACTTAAGGGAAAAAAAGATTTTTTTTTACAAAGAAAAGTACATGTGATTAAAACCTCTTAGGTGAAACATTCTGCATGAAGATTTAAAACCAGTTAGCAAAAAATGCACTCTGAAATGTACCCAGAAGCAACTATTACTTTATCAGACATATGTAAGTTTGGTTCTTCTGCTAACTGATTTCTATTAGCTATGAAACTGCACATCCTTGAATACTTTGAGTTATTCTTACAAACTTTATGGGTACATGGAATAAATCAGGATCCAGCCAAGGTGTGATTGGAAGGTGCCTGCCCACTTTACGGATCCTGTCCAGTCTTTGGTGTACATCAACCTTTGTTGGATTACAACTCCCATGTGGAGGGGGGAGTCCAACGTATCTGGAAAGCATGAGGATGGAGAAGGAAGGTTTTCATTTTCCTCTGTTCTAATGCAAGGTTTGTGGGCAATGGCAGATGCCTGTATTCACGGTTTGGAGAAATGGGACTCTGGAAGACAGTACTACAGTGTGCAAAGTTATTTCCTTTCATGTTCATACCACCGCAGAGTCAAAGCTCTCTGGGTGGTTGCACAGAGATTAAAACCTTAAAAATACAACTCAGTATAAAAATATATACAGAAATATAAACATGCTTAATGATTAACAATAGGAAATCCCAGGAGCCATTAAGAACCTTATTGTATGCTGTCAAATGTCTGGGAATAAAGTAGGGTCTTGGCACCAGATAGATATCATTTGGGAAAACTTTTCATAATCAGGGGCCGCTACCAAGCAGGCCCTGCGCCTTGTGGCCATCCTCCAGACATCCCTCTGTAGAATCACTTAGAAGTGGTCTCAGATGATTATTGTAGTGCATAAGGCCCTCATCAATGATTATCACGTGATGTAAGGGACCTGTGGAGATTCAAAGGTGCAATGAATTCACGGGACTGGGTTCCTGTTGGACCACCTGCACTTTCAGAAATACCCCAGCCTTACAATGAGCAAGAGAATTCCTATTTGCATGCTAGAACAAATAAAAAACCATCTCAGTCCTGTTCTGACCAGAGTATGACTGCCTCTCCATTGGCCATCAAGGTCACAGATAAAGGTCTTTCCCATCACCGCATACCTGATCCTTTAAACTTCGCATTGTGATAGGCCTGGCCCTGCCTTGACATTTCAGAGACTAAGGCTTGAAAACTCATACCTTCAGCAGGACCGCCTTGAATGCATAGGACTTCACAGATCCATATCACCATTTCTTTCTCCAGTAATTCCAAGAAGGCTGCTCATTATCAAGAGAGTGAGGTTCTTTAACCATCAGTTCAGGCAGAAGGAAGCCCAACCCACCTGCAAGAAAATGCACACCTTAGTTTCCTGACATTTCAGTGTGTACCAGTGTGTAGAAGGATGCCTTAGTCTACTGAATTGTGTACCCTGTGCCTAGCCTCGTGTGCACAGGGAAAGTGAACTAGCAAAAAAGAGAAAGAAAGCTAGCTTTTAGACAACACATTTGCCCTTTTAAGTCTTGGGAAATTTACTCTGAATTTATCCTAAGCCACAGACAAGGGGCTCCACACCCAGAATCAAATGACATATTGTTGGGACGGAGTAATTAGGGAAACAATGATCAATGTTATTAACTATGGTAAAATCAGGGTGTTTTACTAATGTCCAAAAGTCAAACAGACATTTAAGAAATGACAGGTCTGCATTCTAGCAGTTCATCGATTTTAGGAAGGTTTGAGGGCCAAATGTGATGTAATGTTAAAATGTACATGGGCATTTAATGTACTCAGTTTTAAAAATGAAAATGGCTGGTAGGAGAGTGTTAGGATGTGTTAATTAACTGGGAAGGCAGCAGGTAGTGCAACTGCAGTTCACTCTTTCCTTCCAAGAAAGATCTGGGTGTTCTCACAGACAGCTCAATGAAAATGCTGACCCAGTGCATAGCTGCTGTGAAAAAAAGGCAAATTTTGTGTTAGGCATAAGTAGGAAATGAATTGGACATAAAACTGCCAAGATCATGCTCTGGTTACACAAATCAACTGTAGTGTCACACTCAGAATCCCTGTGTTGATACAAGATGTCAACCATTCCACAGATCAAATATTTATCTGCCTTGCGATTCTCCCACAAGCCTTGCGACTTGTGAATTCATTGTTCAGAAAGAGCCGAAGCAAATTGAACATTTCCACATAAACCTCCAGAGTTCTGCTGCTGCAAACTCAGGGAGAAGCCAAGGAGTTTTAGTTCCAGCCTCATTAGCTAGGAAGCACAGGGAGGCCAATCCGATGGCAGATTGCATTCAATTAAGTGAACATCTCCAAGGTGCTGAGGAGCCAGTTTTACAAGCTCGCTGAGGGGTGGACTAATTCTCCATCTCCACTTCTGCACCCTGCTCTGGGTGCTCATTTGTACCAACAGCTTGCTTTGCATTACGGACCATCCAACAAGCATTTGGAACATTTCTCTGGAGGGTGACTTTCTGGGGAAGCCCTCCTCCCTGTTTCCCTATCAGAAACCCACTTTAGAGAGAAAGAAGGGAGTGTGGAGATTCAACCTTGCCACAATTCAGAACACATACAAAAGGGAGAAGCAGCTTTGGACAGAGAGAAATCCAACCAGGCTGCATTAGAGAGAGCCAGATCATGCCTTTTTCTGGTTCTTGCCTGACTAGCTGGCAGGGGTACCCGGGGGTTAGCTGGAGGAGGTGCTTGGTCAGAGGTCCTTTCCCAGTTCTCCTCCCAAAGACCCTTCAACCCAGAGAAAGCAAACTCTCAAAAGCCAGCACAGCCAACGCTCAGGAAGTATGGGAGCTGTAGTCCAAAACACCTTAGGAATCTAGATTTCCCGTGCCTGGGACTGAACCTGGATCTCAGGGCATGTGTACTAAGAACTAAGCCTCTGAATGCACAGCTCTCTAGGGCTGTGCCAGACAGTGGTGTAGTGGAGCCAGGGTCCACGGGAATGCTGTACCATTTTTGATTAACTGTAATGCTGAGGACATCTGCCACCCCCCTCAGAACCCTCTGGTCCCTCCGAGCTGAGCTGCAATCTTTGCAGGAGCTTGTGTGGGAGATTTCCCCAGCCACTGTACCTCACTCCCTGTCACAATGCAAACTAATTTGAGATGGCTTCGTCTTTCTAAACCAAGTTTTATGAAAAGACCTGCTCTTGGAAGAGTTGCAAAGTGCTAGAAGTGGTTTGTTGAGATGGCTCAACCCAGCTGGCAGAAGGTTCGGAGAATCCGTGGGAAAGAGGCTATGAGGACTAGTCTGGTGAGTGCCTGAACTTTCAAATGTACCCATGCAAGACAGATGCAGCAACTGTGCAACTTCAACCAGAACCTTGCAAAGCAGTCACAGTTTCCTTACAGGGGAGAACAGCAGCTGCACAGATGCTTCTGGAAAGCAAGTACAATCCAGGCATTGTGGAGATGGCCAGCTTCTGTTGTGTGACCCCCAACATCTGGCATTCAGAAGCCCACTGCCTCCAAGAACAGAGGTCAAACAGAGCTGAATTACAGCTGCAACACAGCTGTCGGCATTCTGCAAGACTGGAGAATTACTCCCCTCCTTACGCTGAAGAATAGCAACCTGGTGGATCTCCAAGCATTCTCTCAAAAGAAACTGACAGCTGGAAAATGGTTAGCGTTAACGTTTTCTAGGGCTCTCCTATCCCTTGCCGCCACCTTGGCAAAACAGAACGGTTCCTGGCTGATCATTGTCTGCACTGTTCAAAGATGACCATAAAAAGCTGGCCTATGCCTTGCCTTTTCCACCTAACACAGATCAAAACCATATTGTCCCACTTCTACAGTCTGCCCATGAATTCCTCTTACCAGGCCCTTAAACCCGTTCTTTTTTCCTATGAACACAACGACGTGTAACCGCAGCTTTAGGCGTTCATGCACGCTTTGCCAAGAAAGCCTCCCACACATTCCGTTCAGAGCTGCTCAGCTCACTCCAAGCAGAGCAATGTTGGAAATTCTCAGTAAGCTTCCTCAAGGGATCACAAGCTCAAACAGCAGAGCTTCGCCACATCTCGTACTGTTGAGCCCCTGCCCCAGTACAAAGCAAGGTATGTTGGAGGGCTGGTTTTTGCACTCAGAAGCTGCAAAGAGGGTTAGAGGACAACTTCTGGATGCATCCAGCCCTGACTATTTCCCGGCTTAAGAGGAGGTGAGGAGTTGGTGGCAAAAGGAAGTGGTGCTGTATGGTGCTGTATGGTAAGTTTGGAAGGCCATGCTCACAGCCTGACTTTTCCCATAGCCACACCTGGAAGGAGAGTTCCAAAATTCAGGCAGGTGTGTAGATCCCATTCAAGACCAAGCCACCCTAAAATACTCTGTTATGATGAGGAAAAATGGGCCTCTTCCTGTGGTCAGAAAGGGAGAAATAATTCTCAGTGGCTTATTTCCCCTGCCTCACATTCCAGAGGAATTTACATAATTATCTTTGCTGACTGCAAGGATAGCTCATTACCATGGCTAGCAAGCCACCCCAAAATCATAAGACCACCCATGACTGCATTCAAACAACATAATAACCCACACTCAAGGGCTGGGGATAAGTTGCTGAACCACGGGTGATCATTCTTGTTGAAATGCGGGTTATCCTGTTGTCTGGATCCAATTCCGCTAACAAGACTGATGAGAACCCATAGTTTGTCATTGGGTTGTGAACTGTGGGCTGTTCACTGTGATTTGTTATCTCAGCTAGGTTCCAATGATATGATAACCCATGTTTCAACAACCAAGCACAATTATTGTCTTCTCTGAACCCAGTCCATGAGCACAGCAACAAGCCACCTTTGCCAGGTTCACCCAACATAGCAGAGTTTCTCAGAGAGGGTAATTATGCCAGTCCCTCTCCACACGCTGGGCATGCCTAGGAGCTAGGCTTCCACCAGAAGCTAATTAATCAGCTTCGAAAGATTCCCAAATCAGCTCCATGCTTGCATGCAGGCCCGTATGCGTGATGCACCCAGACCACAGAGAACAGGCTAGTGGTGTCAGATGATCAGCTGCGTACTTGTCTATAAATCACTCCCCAAAAGGACTGCCAAGTCTTCCAAGCCAGACAACTTTTCTGAAATGCTCCCCTTCCAGCTTAAACCCTTATGGAGAATCTGTTCCCCTTTGCAATGCATGCACACCAAGAGTGGAGAAAGGTGCTTTCATGTGATATGCGTCAGCATCTTCTTTGCTCTGACATTTGGCTGAAAATTCAACCCCTAGCATGGCAGGTGCGGCGTGTAAGGATCCATGTGCAGGCATTAACTAGCATTAACCCTGAGAGGAGTGACAGCAGCAGCAATTCACACACTTCAACACGTTTGGAAAGGCAAAACTGGGTCACGCAGCCCTCGTGTGCACAGGGCACCCTGCCTGTGGCACCACCGTGTCACAGAGTGAGGTCACGTCCGTGCACTGTGTGGATTCCTGACAGCTGATCTGCGTATGTGGGAGTCCAAAGCATTTAATACCATGTCAGCTCAGACCATGCCCACCTGTCTTCAGTTTGCAGAGGTGACGCAAGCTGACCCTGGAAACCTCCCTGCATCCTTCTTACCAAGGTGGGGAACATAATCCCACACGGAGTGGGCATACAATGCTAAGAACGTACCTCCAAGAGGTGCTGAGAATTAAGCAAATTAATCACATACAATATACTGTTTAATCCATACACCAGAGTCCTTTTTTAAAGCCAGCGCTACACTGACTCCTGCATCAGACCTGGAAATATGCACGCAAAAGGTACTATCCTGCATAACTACCAGGACCTCATCCACATATAACTCCTTTATGACTATCAAGCAAGTGCCAAACTATGAAGCTGTACTACATGGACCTCCAAAAACATGGAAGGAAACAAAACAAAGACAGTGTTAAGCAGTAACTCACTGAGGCTGGAGCCCTGAAAGTGTCACTGGGAGCCCCAGATCTCTGGGAGGCCCTCTGCCCCATCACCCTGCTGTCCGTGGGCACCTACTCAAAGAAAGCTGCAGGGGCCTTGAGGTTCCCTCTTGCAACTGATCCCCCAGGACTAGTTGGCCATTTGTCCAAAGTCTCACCACTGTGAATCTTTCTGCGTTTCCCCAGCCCCCAAAATCAAATTGCCTCCTCTCCCCTATCAATACATGTCTCTTTGCAATGTTTATTGATTTTAAATGTTTATTCCGTCTGGTGTCCAGAACAGGGCTCTAGATGGCTCACAGAAAACTGAAAGCATGACAGCACATTTAATAAAATGTAATTCCAAAATGTAAAAATACATAGTAAAATAATTCTGTACTATATAGCAAAAACCATTCAACCATCAAAATATTGGGTAAATAAAAAGGGC